ATCACCTGACACACCTATCACCTGACACACCTGACACACCTATCACCTGACACACCTATCACCTGACACACCTGACACACCTATCACCTGACACACCTATCACCTGACACACCTATCACCTGACACACCTGACACACCTATCACCTGACACACCTGACACACCTATCACCTGACATACCTGACACACCTATCACCTGACATACCTGACACACCTATCACCTGACATACCTGACACACCTATCACCTGACATACCTATCACCTGACATACCTGACACACCTATCACCTGACATACCTGACACACCTATCACCTGACACACCTGACACACCTATCACCTGACTCACCTGACACACCTATCACCTGACACACCTATCACCTGACACACCTATCACCTGACACACCTGACATACCTATCACCTGACACACCTGACACACCTGACACACCTATCACCTGACATACCTGACACACCTATCACCTGACATACCTATCACCTGACATACCTGACACACCTATCACCTGACATACCTATCACCTGACATACCTGACACACCTATCACCTGACACACCTGACACACCTGACACACCTATCACCTGACACACCTGACACACCTATCACCTGACACACCTGACACACCTATCACCTGACACACCTATCACCTGACACACCTGACACACCTATCACCTGACACACCTGACACACCTATCACCTGACACACCTGACACACCTATCACCTGACACACCTATCACCTGACACACCTATCACCTGACACACCTGACACACCTATCACCTGACATACCTGTCACCTAACACCTGTCGCATCTGACGTACCTATCACCTGACATACCTATCACCTGACACACCTGACATACCTATCACCTGACACACCTGACACCCTGACACACCTATCACCTGACATACAGTGGGTACGGAAAGTATTCAGACCCCTTTAAATTTTTCACTCTTTGTTTCATTGCAGCCATTTTCCAAAAATCAAAAAAGTTCATTTTATTTCTCAGTAATGTACACTCAGCACCCCATCTTGACAGAAAAAAAACAGAAATGTAGAAATTTTTGCAAATTTATTGAAAAAGAAAAACTGAAATATCACATGGTCATAAGTATTCAGACCCTTTGCTCAGTATTTAGTAGAAGCACCCTTTTGATCTAATACAGCCATGAGTCGTTTTGGGAAAGATGCAACAAGTTTTTCACATCTGGATTTGGGTATCCTCTGCCATTCCTCCTTGCAGATCCTCTCCAGTTCTGTCAGGTTGGATGGTAAACGTTGGTGGACAGCCATTTTCAGGTCTCTCCAGAGATGCTCAATTGGGTTTAAGTCAGGGCTCTGGCTGGGCCATTCAAGAACAGCCACGGAGTTGTTGTGAAGCCACTCCTTCGTTATTTAGCGGTGTGCTTAGGGTCATTGTCTTGTTGGAAGGTAAACCTTCGGCCCAGTCTGAGGTCCAGAGCGCTCTGGAAAAGATTTTCGTCCAGGAGATCCCTGTACTTGGCCGCATTCATCTTTCCCTCGATTGCAACCAGTCGTCCTGTCCCTGCAGCTGAAAAACACCCCCACAGCATGATGCTGCCACCACCATGCTTCACTGTTGAGACTGTATTGGACAGGTGATGAGCAGTGCCTGGTTTTCTCCACACATGCAGCTTAGAATTAAGGCCAAAAAGTTCTATCTTGGTCTCATCAGACCAGAGAATCTTATTTCTCAGCATCTTGGAGTCCTTCAGGTGTTTTTTAGCAAACTCCATGCAGGCTTTCATGTGTCTTGCACTGAGGAGAGGCTTCCGTCGGGCCACTCTGCCATAAAGCCCCGACTGGTGGATTGCTGCAGTGATGGTTGACTTACTACAACTTTCTCCCATCTCCCGACTGCATCTCTGGAGCTCAGCCACAGTGACCTTTGGGTTCTTCTTTACCTCTCTCACCAAGGCTCTTCTCCCCCGATAGCTCAGTTTGGCCGGACGGCCAGCTCTAGGAAGGGTTCTGGTCGTCCCAAACGTCTTCCATTTGAGGATTATGGAGGCCACTGTGCTCTTAGGAACCTTAAGTGCAGCAGAAACTATTTTGTAACCTTGGCCAGATCTGTGCCTTGCCACAATTCTGTCTCTGAGCTCTTCAGGCAGTTCCTTTGACCTCATGATTCTCATTTGCTCTGACATGCACTGTGAGCTGTAAGGTCTTATATAGACAGGTGTGTGGCTTTCCTAATCAAGTCCAATCAGTATAATCAAACACAGCTGGACTCAAATGAAGGTGTAGAACCATCTCAAGGATGATCAGAAGAAATAGACAGCACCTGAGTTAAATATGAGTGTCACGGCAAAGGGTCTGAATACTTATGACCATGTGATATTTCAGTGTTTCTTTTTTAATAAATTTGCAAAAATTTCTACATTTCTGTTTTTTTCTGTCAGGATGGGGTGCTGAGTGTACATTACTGAGAAATTGATTGTGGTTGATTTTTGGAAAATGGCTGCAATGAAACAAAGAGTGAAAAATTTAAAGGGGTCCGAATACTTTCCGTACCCACTGTACCTATCACCTGACACACCTATCACCTGACACACCTGACATACCTATCACCTCGCACCTGACACACCTGACATACCTATCACCTCGCACCTGACATACCTATCACATCGCACCTGACACACCTATCACATCGCACCTGACACACCTGACATACCTATCACCTCGCACCTGACATACCTATCACCTCGCACCTGACACACCTGACACACCTATCACCTCGCACCTGACATACCTATCACCTCGCACCTGACACACCTGACACACCTATCACCTCGCACCTGACATACCTATCACCTCGCACCTGACACACCTGACATACCTATCACCTCGCACCTGACATACCTATCACATCGCACCTGACATACCTATCACATCGCACCTGACACACCTATCACATCGCACCTGACACACCTATCACCTGACATACCTATCACCTGACATACCTATCACCTGACATACCTATCACCTGACATACCTATCACATCGCACCTGACACACCTATCACCTGACATACCTATCACCTGACATACCTGACATACCTATCACATCGCACCTGACACACCTATCACCTGACATACCTATCACCTGACATACCTATCACCTGACATACCTATCACATCGCACCTGACACACCTATCACCTGACATACCTATCACCTGACATACCTATCACCTGACATACCTGACATACCTATCACATCGCACCTGACACACCTATCACCTGACATACCTATCACCTGACATACCTGACATACCTATCACATCGCACCTGACACACCTATCACCTGACATACCTATCACCTCGCACCTGACACACCTGACATACCTATCACCTCGCACCTGACATACCTGACACACCTGACATACCCATCACCTGGCACTTGACACACCTGTCCTTTCCCCTCAGACCTCAGGGGGTGTGTCCAGAGCCATGAAGAGTCTGGACCCTCTGTACTCTCAGATAAGCTCCACCCACGACAACCCAGGTGACAAAGACCTGGACCTGAAGGGGGACGACGACAGTCCACAACCAGGTGTGTAACAGGATCAGCTGTCCTGGGCTCTAATTAACAGGTGTTTTATTATTTGATAAAACATATTTTTTCTGTCAACAGATCGAAGCGTTGCATCATGGGAAGGCTCGTTCCCCCTGATGGATGAGAAAGAGGAGGAGGAGGAGGAGCTGGATGATGAGGAGGAGGATGAAGGTGAAGAGAGGAAGAATAGTGAGAAGGAACAGAGCCCGGTGGTGAAGAGGAGCAGGAGAGAGGAGGCACTGCAACCCCCCACCACCTCCTCTAAACCCTCCTCCTCTCTTATCACATCAACCTCCATTACCTCCTCTCCCTCTGTCTGCACCTCCTCCTTCACACCTATCACCTCCTCTCCCTCTGTCTGCACCTCCTCCTTCACACCTATTACCTCCTCTCCCCCTGTCTGCACCTCCTCCTTCAAACCTATCACCTCCCCTCCCTCTGTCTGCACCTCCTCCTTCACACCTATTACCTCCTCTCCCCCTGTCTGCACCTCCTCCTTCAAACCTATCACCTCCCCTCCCTCTGTCTGCACCTCCTCCTTCAAACCTGTCACCTCTACCTCTCCCACCATCTTCTCTTCCATCACCTCCTCCATCTCTCCCTCTGTCTGTGCCCTCTCCTCTTCCTCTGCTCCTCCTCGGCCCAGTCCTCCTCCTGACCTCCCCGTCTGTGCCAAGAACATTTCTCTGACAGCAAGCGGACAGAAGGTCATCCTCTGGACCAGGTACACCTCCTGCTGCATTTCCCCTCTCCTTCTTCTCCTCCTCAGGTCTCCTCTCTCCTCCTCTGTGAGGAGCAGGAGGAGGAAAGTCTCTATTGAACCCGTTGTTGTTTTTCAGAGAAGCGGACAGAGTCATCTTGACAACGTGTCAGCAGGAGGGAGCCAATCAGAACACGTTCCAGGCCATCTCTACTCTGCTCGGCAACAAGACTCCCAATGAGGTGATTGGCTGTTGCAACTTGTGTTGAGCTGTGATTGGTGGAACAGTCGGTAACTCTTCCTCGTATCTCCAGGTCTCTCGCAGGTTTCGGGATTTGATGAGTTTGTTTCGGACAGCAGCGCGACAGACTGGCTCTGATGAAGAGGCTCTGCCCACCGAGTCGGTAGCAGCCAATGAGGAAGAAGACTGATGTTAACCAATCAGAAGAGCCGTAGGTTCCGCAGCAGAAAAAATTAAGTTTGTTCCCAGGACTTTTATTGTGAAGGATTCATCAAAGTTTACAGATGCGTTTACTGAACGTCAAAAAAACTGTAAATATGAACATTTCTAAATATTTAAAGTTTTTGTAAAAATGAAGTCTTTTTTTTTTTTAATAAAACAGTTTTTTATCGAAGTGTGGCTGCTGTCCTGAATCAGACCAGTTGAGACCAAAACCGTTTCTGTTCTTGTCAACACACCACGAAACACCAACTACTTCAACTTTAACTTTATTGTCCCTGAGGACTAAAACACAGACTTAAGATACATGAAACAATAAAATACAGTAAATATAAAATTAAAGCAAATAATAAAAACTCACCACACAAGCTCAATAATAATAATATAACAGCTGATCATCAGCTGATCCAAGAAGTTTCCTTCTGCAGCAAACTCATTTGTCAGTTTACAAAATAAAACTTTCATCTAATCCTCAAAAAAAATCTATTTGTTTCTGTGAGACAAAGATCATTTCACAGACATAGCGGCTGACGCCACCGGTTAGTTTGTGCACGACTGTTTTGAAGCCTCTTGTTTGGTATTTGGGCAGACGCCATCTTGGTTTTGTGGAACCAGAAGTGAGTCTAAGCCCCGCCCCTTCCTGTGGACCACCATGGGACATTAGTTTGGTAAAAATGTACGTTAGTCAACGGCAACTAATGTTTAGATCCTGTTTGAAATGTGCCTTGAATTACACACGATGTTTGTCATGATCACTGACGCTAACACAACTGAAGCTAACGTCAAAGAGCTTCCAAGCATAGATGATGTGATGATGAAAGGACCAAGAGTCGTTGAATTGAAAAAATGACTGCCGTACATATTTTTTCTGTGGCGTGGAAGGGGAAGGGCTTAATGCGCCATATATCTTCTATTTTTCTCTAAAAGGGACAAACATTTACGGAATGGTTTAGGATGTTCCACATTAGCTTCACTTTTCAAACTGGGAGGTCCTGCTGGGATTTAAGGGTGTTTAAGGAGGGTTGGGTGTGGTTTCTGTGATTGAAAAGTGCTGGGCAGAGTCATCCCTGTGCTCTCTCGCCAGTTTCAGGGTCAACGTCATCGTCCAGATCTGAAACAGGAAGAAGAAAAATGGTAGAAAATTGAAGCAACCAAAACTTTTTATGAGTCACCTGTACGCAGTCGTAGCCCCGCTGTTTATCTGTACGCAGTCGTAGTCCCGCTGTTTATCTGTACGCAGTCGTAGTCCCGCTGTTTATCTGTACGCAGTCGTAGTCCCGCTGTTTATCTGTACGCAGTCGTAGTCCCGCTGTTTATCTGTACGCAGTCGTACGCAGTCGTAGCCCCACTGTTTATCTGTACGCAGTCATAGTCCCGCTGTTTATCTGTAGGCAGTCATAGTCCCGCTGTTTATCTGTACGCAGTCGTAGTCCCGCTGTTTATCTGTACGCAGTCGTAGCCCTGCTGTTTATCTGTACGCAGTCATAGTCCCGCTGTTTATCTGTTTGTCTGTATGCAGTCATAGTCCCGCTGTTTATCTGTACACAGTCTTAGCCCCACTGTTTATCTCTTTATCTGTACGCAGTCGTACGCAGTCGTAGTCCCGCTGTTTATCTGTACACAGTCTTAGCCCCACTGTTTATCTCTTTATCTGTACGCAGTCGTAGCCCCACTGTTTATCTGTACGCAGTCGTAGTCCCGCTGTTTATCTGTACGCAGTCGTACACAGTCATAGTCCCGCTGTTTATCTGTACGCAGTCGTAGCCCTGCTGTTTATCTGTACGCAGTCATAGTCCCGCTGTTTATCTGTTTGTCTGTATGCAGTCATAGTCCCGCTGTTTATCTGTACACAGTCTTAGCCCCACTGTTTATCTCTTTATCTGTACGCAGTCGTACGCAGTCGTAGTCCCGCTGTTTATCTGTACACAGTCTTAGCCCCACTGTTTATCTCTTTATCTGTACGCAGTCGTAGCCCCACTGTTTATCTGTACGCAGTCGTAGTCCCGCTGTTTATCTGTACGCAGTCGTACACAGTCATAGTCCCGCTGTTTATCTGTACGCAGTCGTAGCCCCGCTGTTTATCTGTACGCAGTCGTAGCCCCGCTGTTTATCTGTACGCAGTCGTAGTCCCGCTGTTTATCTGTACGCAGTCGTACACAGTCATAGTCCCGCTGTTTATCTGTACGCAGTCGTAGCCCCGCTGTTTATCTGTACGCAGTCGTAGCCCCGCTGTTTATCTGTACGCAGTCGTAGTCCCGCTGTTTATCTGTACGCAGTCGTACGCAGTCATACGCAGTCATAGTCCCGCTGTTTATCTGTACGCAGTCGTAGTCCCGCTGTTTATCTGTACACAGTCTTAGCCCCACTGTTTATCTCTTTATCTGTATGCAGTCGTACGCAGTCGTAGTCCCGCTGTTTATCTGTACACAGTCTTAGCCCCACTGTTTATCTCTTTATCTGTACGCAGTCGTAGCCCCACTGTTTCTGTTTATCTGTACGTAGTCGTAGCCCCGCTGTTTATCTGTATGCAGTCGCAGCCCCACTGTTTCTGTTTATCTGTACGTAGTTGTAGTCCCGCTGTTTATCTGTACGCAGTCGTACACAGTCGTAGTCGCGCTGTTTATCTGTACACAGTCGTAGCCCCACTGTTTATCTGTTTATCTGTACGCAGTCGTAGCCCCGCTGTTTCTGTTTGTCTGTACGCAGTCGTAGCCCCGCTGTTTATCTGTACGCAGTCGTAGCCCCGCTGTTTATCTGTACGCAGTCGTAGTCCCGCTGTTTATCTGTACGCAGTCGTAGCCCCGCTGTTTATCTGTACGCAGTCATAGTCCCGCTGTTTATCTGTACGCAGTCATAGTCCCGCTGTTTATCTGTACGCAGTTGTAGCCCCACTGTTTCTGTTTGTCTGTACGCAGTCGTAGCCCCACTGTTTATCTGTTTATCTGTACGCAGTCGTAGCCCCACTGTTTCTGTTTGTCTGTAGGCAGTCGTAGCCCCGCTGTTTATCTGTACGCAGTCGTAGCCCCGCTGTTTATCTGTTTATCTGTAGGCAGTCGTAGCCCCACTGTTTCTGTTTGTCTGTAGGCAGTCGTAGCCCCGCTGTTTGTCTGTACGCAGTCGTAGCCCCGCTGTTTGTCTGTACGCAGTCGTAGCCCCGCTGTTTATCTGTACGCAGTCGTAGCGCCGCTGTTTATCTGTTTGTCTGTAGGCAGTCGTAGCGCCGCTGTTTATCTGTTTGTCTGTAGGCAGTCGTAGCCCCGCTGTTTATCTGTAGGCAGTCGTAGCCCCGCTGTTTATCTGTTTGTCTGTAGGCAGTCGTAGCCCCGCTGTTTATCTGTTTGTCTGTAGGCAGTCGTAGCCCCGCTGTTTATCTGTTTATCTGTAGGCAGTCGTAGCCCGGCTGTTTATCTGTTTATCTGTAGGCAGTCGTAGCCCCGCTGTTTATCTGTAGGCAGTCGTAGCCCCGCTGTTTATCTGTTTGTCTGTAGGCAGTCGTAGCCCCGCTGTTTATCTGTAGGCAGTCGTAGCCCCGCTGTTTATCTGTTTATCTGTAGGCAGTCGTAGCCCCGCTGTTTATCTGTAGGCAATCGTAGCCCCGCTGTTTATCTGTTTATCTGTAGGCAGTCGTAGCCCCGCTGTTTATCTGTTTGTCTGTAGGCAGTCGTAGCCCGCTGTTTGTCTGTACGCAGTCGTAGCCCCACTGTTTATCTGTTTATCTGTACGCAGTCGTAGCCCCGCTGTTTATCTGTACGCAGTCGTAGCCCCGCTGTTTATCTGTTTGTCTGTAGGCAGTCGTAGCCCCGCTGTTTATCTGTACGCAGTCGTAGCCCCGCTGTTTGTCTGTAGGCAGTCGTAGCCCCGCTGTTTATCTGTTTATCTGTAGGCAGTCGTAGCCCCGCTGTTTATCTGTAGGCAGTCGTAGCCCGGCTGTTTATCTGTTTATCTGTAGGCAGTCGTAGCCCCGCTGTTTATCTGTAGGCAGTCGTAGCCCCGCTGTTTATCTGTTTGTCTGTAGGCAGTCGTAGCCCCGCTGTTTATCTGTAGGCAGTCGTAGCCCCGCTGTTTATCTGTTTATCTGTAGGCAGTCGTAGCCCCGCTGTTTATCTGTAGGCAATCGTAGCCCCGCTGTTTATCTGTTTATCTGTAGGCAGTCGTAGCCCCGCTGTTTATCTGTTTGTCTGTAGGCAGTCGTAGCCCCGCTGTTTATCTGTTTGTCTGTAGGCAGTCGTAGCCCCGCTGTTTATCTGTACGCAGTCGTAGCCCCGCTGTTTATCTGTACGCAGTCGTAGCCCCGCTGTTTATCTGTTTGTCTGTAGGCAGTCGTAGCCCCACTGTTTATCTGTTTGTCTGTAGGCAGTCGTAGCCCCACTGTTTATTTGTTTGTCTGTAGGCAGTCGTAGCCCCGCTGTTTATCTGTTTGTCTGTAGGCAGTCGTAGCCCCGCTGTTTATCTGTAGGCAGTCGTAGCCCCGCTGTTTATCTGTTTATCTGTAGGCAGTCATAGCCCCGCTGTTTATCTGTACGCAGTCGTAGTCCCGCTGTTTATCTGTAGGCAGTCATAGTCCCGCTGTTTATCTGTAGGCAGTCATAGCCCCGCTGTTTATCTGTACGCAGTCATAGTCCCGCTGTTTATCTGTACGCAGTCGTAGCCCCGCTGTTTATCAGTACGCAGTCATAGTCCCGCTGTTTATCTGTACGCAGTCGTACGCAGTCGTAGTCCCGCGGTTTATCTGTACGCAGTCGTACGCAGTCGTAGTCCCGCTGTTTATCTGTACACAGTCTTAGCCCCACTGTTTATCTCTTTATCTGTACGCAGTCGTACGCAGTCGTAGTCCCGCTGTTTATCTGTACACAGTCTTAGCCCCACTGTTTATCTCTTTATCTGTACGCAGTCGTAGCCCCACTGTTTCTGTTTATCTGTAGGCAGTCGTAGCCCCGCTGTTTATCTGTTTGTCTGTACGCAGTTGTAGCCCCGCTGTTTATCTGTACGCAGTCGTAGTCCCGCTGTTTATCTGTACGCAGTCGTACGCAGTTGTAGCCCCGCTGTTTATCTGTACGCAGTCATAGTCCCGCTGTTTATCTGTAGGCAGTCGTAGCCCCGCTGTTTATCTGTACGCAGTCATAGTCCCGCTGTTTATCTGTACGCAGTCATAGTCCCGCTGTTTATCTGTACGCAGTCATAGTCCCGCTGTTTATCTGTACGCAGTCGTACGCAGTCATAGTCCCGCTGTTTATCTGTACGCAGTCGTAGCCCCGCTGTTTATCTGTACGCAGTCATAGTCCCGCTGTTTATCTGTACGCAGTCATAGTCCCGCTGTTTATCTGTACGCAGTCGTACGCAGTCATAGTCCCGCTGTTTATCTGTAGGCAGTCGTAGCCCCACTGTTTATCTCTTTATCTGTACGCAGTCGTAGCCCCGCTGTTTATCTGTTTATCTGTACGCAGTCGTAGCCCCGCTGTTTATCTGTTTGTCTGTAGGCAGTCGTAGCCCCGCTGTTTATCTGTACGCAGTCATAGTCCCGCTGTTTATCTGTACGCAGTCATAGTCCCGCTGTTTATCTGTACGCAGTCGTACGCAGTCATAGTCCCGCTGTTTATCTGTACGCAGTCGTAGCCCCGCTGTTTATCTGTACGCAGTCATAGTCCCGCTGTTTATCTGTACGCAGTCATAGTCCCGCTGTTTATCTGTACGCAGTCGTACGCAGTCATAGTCCCGCTGTTTATCTGTAGGCAGTCGTAGCCCCACTGTTTATCTCTTTATCTGTACGCAGTCGTAGCCCCGCTGTTTATCTGTTTATCTGTACGCAGTCGTAGCCCCGCTGTTTATCTGTTTGTCTGTAGGCAGTCGTAGCCCCGCTGTTTATCTGTTTGTCTGTAGGCAGTCGTAGCCCCGCTGTTTATCTGTAGGCAGTCGTAGCCCCGCTGTTTATCTGTAGGCAGTCGTAGCCCCGCTGTTTATCTGTTATCTGTAGGCAGTCGTAGCCCCGCTGTTTATCTGTAGGCAGTCGTAGCCCCGCTGTTTATCTGTTTGTCTGTAGGCAGTCGTAGCCCCGCTGTTTATCTGTAGGCAGTCGTAGCCCGCTGTTTATCTGTTTATCTGTAGGCAGTCGTAGCCCCGCTGTTTATCTGTTTGTCTGTAGGCAGTCGTAGCCCCGCTGTTTATCTGTAGGCAGTCGTAGCCCCGCTGTTTATCTGTTTATCTGTAGGCAGTCGTAGCCCCGCTGTTTATCTGTTTGTCTGTAGGCAGTCGTAGCCCCGCTGTTTATCTGTTTGTCTGTAGGCAGTCGTAGCCCCGCTGTTTATCTGTTTATCTGTAGGCAGTCGTAGCCCCGCTGTTTATCTGTAGGCAGTCGTAGCCCCGCTGTTTATCTGTAGGCAGTCGTAGCCCCGCTGTTTATCTGTTTGTCTGTAGGCAGTCGTAGCCCCGCTGTTTATCTGTAGGCAGTCGTAGCCCCGCTGTTTATCTGTTTATCTGTAGGCAGTCGTAGCCCCGCTGTTTATCTGTAGGCAGTCGTAGCCCCGCTGTTTATCTGTTTATCTGTAGGCAGTCGTAGCCCCGCTGTTTATCTGTAGGCAGTCGTAGCCCCGCTGTTTATCTGTAGGCAGTCGTAGCCCGCTGTTTATCTGTAGGCAGTCGTAGCCCCGCTGTTTATCTGTAGGCAGTCGTAGCCCCGCTGTTTATCTGTTTATCTGTAGGCAGTCGTAGCCCCGCTGTTTATCTGTAGGCAGTCGTAGCCCCGCTGTTTATCTGTTTGTCTGTAGGCAGTCGTAGCCCCGCTGTTTATCTGTTTGTCTGTAGGCAGTCGTAGCCCCGCTGTTTATCTGTTTGTCTGTAGGCAGTCGTAGCCCCGCTGTTTATCTGTTTGTCTGTAGGCAGTCGTAGCCCCGCTGTTTATCTGTTTGTCTGTAGGCAGTCGTAGCCCCGCTGTTTATCTGTAGGCAGTCGTAGCCCCGCTGTTTATCTGTAGGCAGTCGTAGCCCCGCTGTTTATCTGTTTGTCTGTAGGCAGTCGTAGCCCCGCTGTTTATCTGTAGGCAGTCGTAGCCCCGCTGTTTATCTGTAGGCAGTCGTAGCCCCGCTGTTTATCTGTAGGCAGTCGTAGCCCCGCTGTTTATCTGTAGGCAGTCGTAGCCCCGCTGTTTATCTGTAGGCAGTCGTAGCCCCGCTGTTTATCTGTTTGTCTGTAGGCAGTCGTAGCCCCGCTGTTTATCTGTAGGCAGTCGTAGCCCCGCTGTTTATCTGTTTATCTGTAGGCAGTCGTAGCCCCGCTGTTTATCTGTAGGCAGTCGTAGCCCCGCTGTTTATCTGTTTATCTGTAGGCAGTCGTAGCCCCGCTGTTTATCTGTTTGTCTGTAGGCAGTCGTAGCCCCGCTGTTTATCTGTAGGCAGTCGTAGCCCGCTGTTTATCTGTTTATCTGTAGGCAGTCGTAGCCCCGCTGTTTATCTGTTTGTCTGTAGGCAGTCGTAGCCCCGCTGTTTATCTGTTTGTCTGTAGGCAGTCGTAGCCCCGCTGTTTATCTGTAGGCAGTCGTAGCCCCGCTGTTTATCTGTAGGCAGTCGTAGCCCCGCTGTTTATCTGTAGGCAGTCGTAGCCCCGCTGTTTATCTGTTTGTCTGTAGGCAGTCGTAGCCCCGCTGTTTATCTGTAGGCAGTCGTAGCCCCGCTGTTTATCTGTTTGTCTGTACGCAGTCGTAGCCCCGCTGTTTATCTGTAGGCAGTCGTAGCCCCGCTGTTTATCTGTTTGTCTGTAGGCAGTCGTAGCCCCGCTGTTTATCTGTAGGCAGTCGTAGCCCCGCTGTTTATCTGTAGGCAGTCGTAGCCCCGCTGTTTATCTGTAGGCAGTCGTAGCCCCGCTGTTTATCTGTTTGTCTGTACGCAGTCGTAGCCCCGCTGTTTATCTGTAGGCAGTCGTAGCCCCGCTGTTTATCTGTTTGTCTGTACGCAGTCGTAGCCCCGCTGTTTATCTGTAGGCAGTCGTAGCCCCGCTGTTTATCTGTTTGTCTGTAGGCAGTCGTAGCCCCGCTGTTTATCTGTAGGCAGTCGTAGCCCAGCTGTTTATCTGTTTGTCTGTAGGCAGTCGTAGCCCCGCTGTTTATCTGTTTGTCTGTACGCAGTCGTAGCCCCGCTGTTTATCTGTAGGCAGTCGTAGCCCCGCTGTTTATCTGTTTGTCTGTAGGCAGTCGTAGCCCCGCTGTTTATCTGTTTGTCTGTAGGCAGTCGTAGCCCCGCTGTTTATCTGTAGGCAGTCGTAGCCCCGCTGTTTATCTGTACGCAGTCGTAGCCCCGCTGTTTGTCTGTAGGCAGTCGTAGCCCCGCTGTTTATCTGTAGGCAGTCGTAGCCCCGCTGTTTGTCTGTAGGCAGTCGTAGCCCCGCTGTTTATCTGTTTGTCTGTAGGCAGTCGTAGCCCCGCTGTTTATCTGTTTGTCTGTACGCAGTCGTAGCCCCGCTGTTTATCTGTAGGCAGTCGTAGCCCCGCTGTTTATCTGTACGCAGTCGTAGCCCCGCTGTTTATCTGTACGCAGTCGTAGCCCCGCTGTTTATCTGTAGGCAGTCGTAGCCCCGCTGTTTATCTGTAGGCAGTCGTAGCCCCGCTGTTTATCTGTTTGTCTGTAGGCAGTCGTAGCCCCGCTGTTTATCTGTTTGTCTGTACGCAGTCGTAGCCCCGCTGTTTATCTGTACGCAGTCGTAGCCCCGCTGTTTATCTGTACGCAGTCGTAGCCCCGCTGTTTATCTGTACGCAGTCGTAGCCCCGCTGTTTATCTGTAGGCAGTCGTAGCCCCGCTGTTTATCTGTAGGCAGTCGTAGCCCCGCTGTTTATCTGTTTGTCTGTAGGCAGTCGTAGCCCCGCTGTTTATCTGTTTGTCTGTAGGCAGTCGTAGCCCCGCTGTTTATCTGTTTGTCTGTAGGCAGTCGTAGCCCCGCTGTTTATCTGTTTGTCTGTAGGCAGTCGTAGCCCGCTGTTTATCTGTAGGCAGTCGTAGCCCCGCTGTTTATCTGTTTGTCTGTAGGCAGTCGTAGCCCCGCTGTTTATCTGTACGCAGTCGTAGCCCCGTCAACAATTTCCCCTTCTCACCCATACAGTCCTCAGCTCTGCTCTCGGGGTTCTCCTGGTTCTGCTGGTTCTCTGCAGCTGGAGGATCTTCATCCATGTGAACATCTGCATGTCAGACAGACAAATCAGCAGAAAGATTAACAGTTTGGTTCAAACTGTAAACTAAGTGTTAGTGTACTGGACATCATTGGCTGAGGGCTGTGAGCCAACGGCCATGTGCTGGTCCAGTCTTTCACCGAATGATCCTCTTTATAATAATAAACAGCTCCTGTTTAGTGTCACTACTCGTGTGTTTTTGTAATAAACATGGTTTGGAGACCAGATAGTCGTCAGCTCGTGTAGTGTGTGACCTCATTCACCGATCAGACACGTAGTGTGAACCAATGACTTCAAGACTCCTGTCATAAGACGGCAGGTCGTGTAGTCTGAACTAGGCTTTAGCTGTTGCACTCCGGTTGTGCTGACCCCTGTTAATTGCCCAAATGTGAGAATCTCGACTGCATCATTTCTGGTAGAGGGGGGGCGGTGCGCACTCCTCTGTCTTTTAGGGTTGGCAGTATCTCAGCCCGAAAGGATTTGGTTTGGGAACTGGAGGGTCGCTGGTTTGAGTCCAGATCAGTCATATGGACTGTTAGCTGCAGAGGTGGCAGTTCACCTCCTGGTCCCTGCAGAAGGTGCCCTTGAGCAAGGTCCTGAACCCCTAACTGCTTCCCGAGCCCTGCCCGAGTCTGCCCACTGCTCCTAATTAGGATGGGGTCACCATTCCAAGCTTATCTTGTTGGGCCACTGTAGTATGTTAGAACAAAACTCCAGACTAAACCAGGGACTAAAGGAGGACCTGGACCTGCACTAATCTTCAGTTGACTGGACTGCTGTAACGGATCAGATAGCTGCAGCTGACGTGACAGGAACCATCGCAGCGTGTAAATGTGGCGCCGATCGATCGGTGCATCTACAACCTACTTTAATGTGGAATCTGCATCAGAGACGCGCTGCAGGGGAAACTCTGCCGCCTCCAGTTTTCAGGAATGAAAAGAATAAAAAGAATGAAGTGCAGAGTTCTGACAGAAAACAGTTAACATGAACTTTAAATACTGAAAACTATAAACAACAAAGTGAACAGGTGGAAAAATTCACCTGCTTTCTGTTTAATGATGAAACATGAAGGGTTAAACTTTTTAAAGCTGAACGCTTCAGTGAGATTCAGTTTGCTGAACGAACTGACCGTATGTTTGTCTGCGCAGCTTCCTGAACGGCCAGTTGTCCCTGAGCCGCAGCAGGCAGGACTTCCTCCTCACGGGCACAGACTCCATAGAGAAAACGCTCGATTTAAGAGGTGTGAAACTCTGTTTAAACAAAGAGTTTCCTTCAGCCTGGGAAGACTTCCGTCAATACAAAGTCTCTGAGAGCAGCGAGAGTCTCTGTCGACAGACTACCTGCACACGCCTCACCTGAGCCTTCAAAATAAAAGCCCTGCCTATAAACACAGGCAGTCTCTGTGAATGTTCCTCTTTCCTGATGGACCCGAGTCAGTCTGAACAAAATGTGACTGATGGCTCATGAACCTTTTAAATGTGGTCTGTTTATTGTAAATATTAAACTAACAGAGAGTTATAATTCATTGTATTGTTGTGATTCAGATTAGCAGCATGAAGGTTTGTCTCTGTTCCTGTCTCCTGTTTAAATAAAGGTTGAATGAATGTGTCAGGGTTTCATACTTCTCTAATGTAAATGTTTGTTCACACAGCTGTGGCCTGCACTACGAAGGGAGTTCAGCCTCCTCAGAGTTACAAACTGATCTCCTACACTGGAGTTAAACTACGAAGGTGGATCAGATGTTGGTTAGCTGAGTCCGTGTTATTGGAGTTAGTGCGCGTTCGCATAAAAGCGCGTGTTCGGCCGTTTTTTCGCGACGGCGCATGCTCCGTATTTCTCCAGAGGAATGCACGTCGGTGGTGTCAGGAAATTATGAATGTAAAGACAAGTTAACTCTAAATCTAATATCGTGGCGGGCGACAGAGCCAAGGAGGCGTGTTGGCATCACATGGAGTAAATTTGTAGCCTAATTATCTTATTGTAGTTCAGATCTCCATTCTGTATTTTATAGGCTCTTCTTTCATGTGTAATATGATTTAAAGGTACGACTGCACATGAGGTCCACTGGAATAGAAGAAAAGGAGCCAGCGGAGAGGGGGAATAATCCGAGACAGAATTTAATTTCCAAGATTAATCTACATGTAAAGAACTTGAATATTCTCTGACATTATAGTCACATTTATGAGAGAAACTTCACTTTGCAAGGCTGCAACATCACGCACACACACACTGCTGCCGTGTAGTGTGCACTGCCATCGGATTCAGCAGTGAGGAAATACTCCTGAGTTTAGCCCACAACCATGCACCTTAGAGACTTTGGATCGGCCGTATTCAGAAGAAAACTAGGATCGATAGCTTCGATTTTTTATGACATTAATTTAGGGGAATTTCCGATTTTTCTTCTTATAAATTTCACACTTTCATCTAGGATTTTTTTTTTCTCGGTTATTAACCCTGGCTCTCTATTTTTTGGACACGTAAAATAATCAATATAATATGTGAAAACACTGAGGAGAATTCAATTATAGACTACAGACGGGCTCCATCTAAGAAACTGTCCCGTTAATTAGGATTCCTCTCTAAATCCCAACTCGCTGTCTGAAACTCAGAGGAACAAACCAGGATGAAATCTAAACAGATTTTATGAAGCGGAGTGTATTAATATCCTGCTTCTCCTCCTGAACACTGAGTACAGATGTGGTGTGGAGTCCACGTGCAGGGGAACCTCGAGGTAACCACCAACAAAACCTGCTCAGAGCAGTTTAGAGATGCGGCCTATGTTGCCATGGAAACAGACCCCGGTTAACCGGGAAGTTACACCCGACGTGACGAAGTTAGTCCTGAAGTCACCTGGATAAGCTTCCTAGTACAGGCCACAGGTCTGAGACGTGAGTTCAACCTGGAAACGGTTTGCAACGTTTTCAGATTGAACAACACGTTTCTTTCCAACCTTCTGCAACAGAAGTCTATGAAGATTCTCAGTCATCCAGGTCATAGTTATCCAACGAGGGTTAAAAATGAAGGGCAGCTGGACTTGGTTGAAGATACTGGAAGACGTTTCGTCCCTTATCCAAAGGACTTCTTCAGTTCTGACTGACTGGCAGGGAAACTCAGCTATTTAACCTCAGTGGGGTCGTTGGCCCGGGTCATCGATACCGCTGGTTCATTAGTGTTCCTTGTTGCTGTGACGACAGTCGTTACAGTCGTTAAGACTACCTGTGGCCGAGACTGAACGACCTTCGTTGGTATCTTCACCTGAGGCCAATAGGTTACGTTTGTTGAGTTTCCTGGGAAGTGATGAAAGGACAGCATTGTAAGTGGGGGATAAGTGGTGGCGTAGACCCCCTCCCCTGTTCAATGACGGCTTCTCCACCCTGGTGTAGATGCTTCCTTGACACCTCTTTCAAACCATCCATCTTCTCTGTCTAAAATGTGCACCTGGTGGTCCTCAAACGAGTGTCCTCTGTCCTTCAGATGTAAGTAGACTGCAGAGTCTTGACCTGAGGAGTTGGCCCTTCTGTGTTGAGCCATGCGTTTGTGTCGTGGTTGTTTAGTCTCCCCAATATACAGGTCTGTGCATTCCTCACTGCATTGGACCGCATACACTAGATTGCTTTTCTTGTGTTTGGGTGTGCGGTCTTTGGGGTGGACCAGCATCTGTCTTAGTGTGTTCTTGGGTTTAAAAAACACAGGGATGTTATGTTTGTTGAAAATCCTCCTGAGTTTCTCTGATACTCCAGACACGTATGGAATCACAATGTTGTTGCGTTTGACCTTCTTTTCCTCCCCTGTAGTTTTGTTCTTCTTGGATTTTGTGGCTGTCTTCACAAAGGTCCATTTAGGGTCTCCACAGGCTGTAAGTGCCCCCTTCAGGTGCTTCTGTTCCTTCTCTCTGGCTTGGGCGCTTGTTGGTATGTTCTCCGCTCTGTGGTGCAGTGTTCTCATGACCCCTAGCTTGTGCTCCAGTGGGTGGTGGGAATCGAACAGTAGGTATTGGTCTGTGTGTGTGGGTTTTCTGTAAACACCAATCTGCAGGCTCCTGTCCTCTTCAACAGAAGTGTTTTCTCCCGTTTGGTGGGCTTGACGACAACGTTGCCCTGTGTATCATCAGCTTAAATGTTTTAATGTGGAAATCAGATTTTCATAAACATGTTCAATGAAATGAGCAAACAGACTCCAATAATATTCATGACTATTAATTAATAATGATCATAATGGTTATTAATAACAATCCGTAAAACAGAGTTAAACTGTAAAACATTTTGTTGAAAATAAAAATGACAAAATATAAATGTAAAGAAAACAAATGAACATAACTTATTTTGAGAATTATGACACAGGAAGTGAGGCAGAGAAGTGGCAGCGAGGGTCATGCTTTTATTGTGAAATATAAAAGTTTTTATATTCAGAGCGTCAAATATTTATTAATGACAAAACTTAAACTGATTTTACAAAACAAAACGTAGAAAACAGACTGAAAACGAAGTAAACAGGAAGGAGGTCATATCCAAACAGGGTGGGGCTACAATACGTGGGCGGGGTTATGTACGTGGGCGGGGTTGTAGTATGATTCTATAAACTTAAACATTTCTTAATAGAACTTTATACATAGAAACTTTTTTAAAATTTGATCTTTTTAAAGTTTCGTTACTTAAAACATAAAAAAATATTTCAGGAAGGTTATGAGTATTGATCAGCTCTCATCCCCAGAACCTCTGTCTGCCAGCGGGTGGAGTCGGTGCTGGCGCCTCCTCAGGCGGAGGCTGCAGGTTGAAGATGGAACCCGCCGCCTCCACCGTGAAGATGAAGTACATGTTGGCGGCCATCATGGCAAGACTCGGCAGGAAGCAGAGTCCGAAACCGAAACCGCGGATGGAGCTGCCGAACGCCGCCGCCACCCAGTAAACCAGCCTGGAGACACAAAACAAACGCACCTTTCCTCACTGTTTACATGGAGCGAATGAAACGATTGGCCGAGCCTCTCTCAGTAAGTCACATGTGACTTATTGATCATCGAGCCGTTAACTTGCTGCTTTTTAAAATCTCACCGTCCAAACGCGAAGACGACGGTCAGCAGAGGGACGAGCTTCAACTGCTCCTGGCTCAGGTACATCGCCATGACGACCAGCTGCAGGAAGTAGATCAGGAACAGGGAGGCGGAGTCAGAGACAAAGTTGCGGTGGACGCTGACCTCATGAAGCTCCGCCCCTTTCACATCCTCATCAAACAGGGGCCGCATCACACCTGACCTGAGCCGACTGACCCCCAGAACCAGCCAACCTGAGAGACAGACAGGTGAGAGAGAGACAGACTATATTATATGTTGTATGTATGATGCTTTGTCAATATTGTTGTTACACATTCATGCCAATAAAGCTAATTTGAGAGAGAGACAGACAGGTGAGAGAGAGACAGAGACAGGTGAGAGAGAGAGACAGGTGAGTCAGACAGGTGTGTGAGAGAGAGAGACACACACACACACACAGGTGAGAGAGAGTCAGGTAGACATAGACCGGTCCATACTTCTGTAAGAACATCCTGCAGGTACAGAGAAAGACACCAAATAACCTGTGCAGAGCAGAGCTCGGCCAAAACCCCCTCTCACTAAAAATACCGAAAAGATCACTTAAATTTTATAATCACTTAAAATCAGTTAACCCCAGACATATCATCACAAAGCCCTAACATACCAGGAGCTGAGTCCCCTGAGCCAGCTGGTCCTGAGGCTCTCTGCAGTAACAAGTCCCCAACAGCCTCAGGACAGCAACGCTAACTCAAGCAGACCAAACCAAATTATCAGCAAGCAGAAAGAAACAACCAAAACACAAAGTAAATTCCAAAGTTATCTGACCCTAAAAAGACAATTCACACTGTCAAATTACCTGAGTACAATAAAATGTCCCAAACTAAGAAAAATGTTGACAACATCCAGACTGAGTGAACACAGCCTGGCCATAGAAAAGGGTCGACACAGACAGAGCAGGCTACCACAAGAGGAGAGACTCTGCTGCCAGTGTGACAGGGGACAGGTAGAGACAGAGGACAGGTAGAGACTGAGCTGAACTTTCTAACCTCATGCCCCAAATATAAAACACTAAGACAACACTTTGAAAACATTTCCTAAGACAGGAGGAAACAGACAGGTGGGAGACAGGGGAAAGACAAACAGGTGAGAGAGACAGACAGGTGAGAGAAAGACAGACAGGTGGGAGACAGGTGAGAAAGAGACAGAGGTGAGAGAGAGACAGACAGATGGGAGACAGGGGAAAGACAAACAGGTGAGAGAGACAGACAGGTTGGAGAGACAAACAGGTGAGTCAGACAGGTGAGAGAGACAGACAGGTAGGAGACGGGAGAGAGACAAACAGGTGAGAGACGGGGGAGACAAACAGGTGAGAAAGAGACAAACAGGTGAGAGACAGACAGGTGAGTCAGACAGGTGATAGAGAGACAAACAGGTGAGAAAGAGACAGACAGGTGAGAGAAAGACAGACAGGTGGGAGACAGGTGAGAGACAAACAGACAGGTGAGAGAGAGACAAACAGGTGAGAGGTGAGTCAGACAGGTGAGAGAAAGAAACAGAGAGGTGAGAGACAGACAGGTGAGAGAGAGACAGAGAGGTGAGAGACAGACAGGTGAGAGACAGGGGAGACAAACAGGTGAGAAAGAGACAAACAGGTGAGTCAGACAGGTGAGAGAGAGAGAGAGGTGAGAGACAGACAGGGGAGAGAGAGATATACAGGTGAACCAGACAGGTGAGAGACACAAACAGGTGTGAGACAGGAGAGAGACAGACAGGTGTGAGACAGACAGGTGTGAGACAGGAGAGAGACAGAGAGGTGAGAGAGAGAGACAGAGAGAGGTGAGACACTCACCCAGGACGATGGGCGCAGCGGCGAACACGGAGCAGCGTAGAGTGTAGACGAGTCTAAGGGGGGCGCCATCCAGCAGGGGGGCATCAAATGGCAGGAAGACAAACCCCCCCCACACCAGGAAGGGGAAGATGAGTGCTGACGTCATCAGGGACACGCCCATCTTCAGGACATCCCTGCTGGGACAGCACCGCCCACCTGAGAGAGAGACAGGTTAAACCCTGCCCACCTGAGAGAGAGAGAAATTAAACCCCGCCCACCTGAGAGAGAGACAGGTATATTTACATAAAGCAGGAGTCGTGTCCTTGGTCCACTCGTACTGGTAGCCATGTTGGTTGTAGTCCTGGGGGACTCCTCGGGGACCCAGGAAGGGACTCTTCTCTGACTCCATTTCCCAGAGTGCCTCACTGTCTCTGGGTAAGGATGGGGACTGCAGGACGGTCACTGTTGGACTAAACACCTGAGCTGCTTTCTCGGGCAGGGGATTCTCCACAGGCTCCGCCTCCAGGTGTATCAACAGCCCCGCCCCCTCCTCTTCACCCCCTCCCCTTCCCTTCTTCTGTCCTCTGCGTCAGTTCTCTCTCGCTTTCTGTGCAGCTCGCCGCCTCGTGTCCAGAAACATCTGACCTCATGCTCATCCTGTCACCTCCACCTGTCTGTCTGTCTCCGCGCCACAGCAACGTGCTGGACTCCATGGGGGCCGACCTCGCCGGCCCGTCCTCTCCCTCACTCTGTCTGGTCTTCTTCACCCCGTCTTCCTCCATCTTGGTACTTCTTGTCAGGAGTTGGGCGCCTTCTGGCCGATGGTCTGTCAGCAGAGACATGTCCGTCTGGTCTTGTTCACCCCGCCGTCCTCCACTGATTGTTCGAAGCTGCTGACCTGTGACACCTGATACCTGTGAGGAGAGAGGACGACAGGCAGCGAAGGCAATCAAACCGTGGTCACGGAGGTCACTGAGGTCACGTGCTACGTGGTTAAACCTTTAGCTTATCAGACGTGGACACCTTCGGGACCACCTGGGGATGTGACCTCCGTCTGACCCTGACTCACCTGATCTCAGACCAGGACCTGTTTCAGAAACAGCTTCAGGGATTGATCCACTCATCTGATCTCCGGCTCTGAGACTGAAACCCTGAGTTTCACCTCACCTGTCAGGTGAGTGCAGCCGTTCGGAAATCCCCGCCCACTTTAAACCTGAACAACAGTGTGTTCTCCTGTGACCACAAACGTGTCGCGTTATTAACCTTCCCCTGCTGTTCTCCCGAGTCTGTGATGACTCAGAGGAGCTCAGGTTCCCACTGGCCAAACTCTTTTAGACTCTGAGGCTCCACAGAAAACCAGGCAGCCTGAAACTAAAGCTGAGCCCAGGCTAAGTGACCCGGCAGGCCTGAGGGCCGCAGGGCCGAGCGCAAAACTGCAGGTCTCATTTCAAATGTTACGGGGCAGCTGGCGTCCTTATTGGACAGCTAAACTATTCTGTCGAACTGGAACAAGCCCCCGGGTTTTCTTTAGGACTGCTGACTCAGTTTTTAAAGCCCCACAAACTGTGAAAGATTTCTTCAGTTTCACCACCATCAGGGTCTCCCCTCCTGAGCCCAGTCCCTGTCCCCTGTTTGAACCGGTGACCTTCTCTGCTTCACACGAGACTGGGGTTTGATGAAACTTCCCCTCCTCCACTTGTTAAGGAGGTTTTTTCCACTAGAGGACCATCTGTTCTGTCCTCGGGGTTTAAACATGCAGCAGTGCTTTAATTAAAAAACCCGGTCTGGATCCTGCAGAGTTCAGGCCTGTCTCCAAACTGTGTGTCCCAGTATTCCTGAGGTTTTCCGGTCTGGGTTTGAACCCTGCAGAGCACCGAGTCAGCTCTGCTAACAGGTTTTATATCTTTGCAGCACCTGGTTGCGTTTGACACAGGGGACCACGAGATCCTGACCTCTCGTTTGGGGCGCCGGGTGGGCATCGAGGCCGAAGCACTCACACGGTTCAGGTCCTATGTGGTGACTCTGTGTCCTCCTCTGTCCTGTGGGGCCCCTCAGGGCTCAGTTTCAGGACCTCTGCTCTCTTCCTTTGCTCCCGCTTGGTTCCATATTTGGGAAGCTGCTGTGTCGTTCACTGTTACGCAGACGATGGTCGGATCTACGTGGACCTGTCGGGCTGTAACTCGAGTGCCTGGACAGCTCTGACCTTTTGAAGTCTTAGCGAAGGGAACAGAAGAGATGTTTTCGGTGGCTCCACTGGGACCCCCTTGTCGATCTGGGTTCGTTGACTTAGTACATCAGGCCTAGGGGGTTAAAGTCGACTCTGACCTTCAGCTCCACAGACACATCAAGGCCGTGGTTAAATTGAGCTTTTCATACAGAGCAGGTCTCGACCGAACAACAACAAATAAAGGCAGATCCTCCGAGGCAGCTGTGTGAGACGGCGGAAACGCCGCTGCACGTCTCGAACTGGAACGCTACAGGATCCGTTTTAAAAGGATTTTATTTGCTTCTAAATGGTGTCGCCCCCCCACCCGTCCGTGGGGTCAGCTGATCGGCTGCAGGCTCCCTGTCCTCGGCCCCTCAGACAGCTGAAGTGACTTGTTGTTTCTTGCGTTCGATGGATTTCACATCTGTTCTTTTGCTCTCTGAAGAAAGACTGATAACAATTATAATGATCAGCTGTCTGATCACGTGTCAGCTGCTGGAAAAGCTACAGGTGAGCCTGCAGGTCCGGTTAGCCCCGCCCACTATCCGTGACGTCTTTATAACTTAAACAGAAGTGACGTTTTGTCAGATTAAACCTGCCCAGTCGAAAAAACTCTAGACTTTAAAGGCGGCAGATTATCTGTTCTGAACGGCCCCGTGCTAACGTGCTAACATGCTAACGTGCTAACATGCTAACGTGCTAACATGCTAACAGCGCCGGACTCTGACGTCAGACTGAAACTAACCTTCAGACTAAAGTCCGACAGGAAACTGAGATTAAAGTGAAGATTAACTCACGCGACGCTCCGAGCCTCCTCTCTTCTTCTTCTTCTTCTTCTTCTTCTTCTTCTTCTTCTTCTTCTTCTTCTTCTTCTTCTTCTTCTTCTTCTTCTTCTTCTTCTTCTTCTTCTTCTTCTTCTTCTTCTTCTTCTTCTTCTCCTCCTCGTTCTGTTTCTGCTTGTTGTTCCCAAACTCCGGAAGTTCCGCTCAGCTTCAGGTGCGGTCACGTCAGGTGAGTTAAAGGGAACGTGCTCTTAAAGGGAAGCTGAAACATCCGGCCGATAAATATTCAGCAGTAACTAATACTCAGCTTAAATACTGCTGTTAGTACAAGTACTGCGGGGCTGGCTGATAAAACCGAAACCATAATTATCAGGATCTAAACTTATTTTTTATTGAATCGGATTTGTAAAGATTCACAGTTTGGTATCACGTGTCTGTGGTCGTCATCACGTTTACCCAAGTACTTAAGTACAAATTAGATGTACTTGTACGTTACTTGAATACTTTCTCCTTCTGCTCCGTCTCAGAGGGAGATGTAATACTTTTTACTTCACTACATTTATCTGACAGCTTCAGTTACTTTACAAAGTCAGATTTTTACACACAAACACATGAAGAGTATAAAATACGTTTAGCCTAGTTATAAATTTTTTATAATTTACGTTTATATAATTATTAAGTCATATGTAATTATTAAGTTATTATATGATTAAGTTTATATATAATTGAGTTCATATATAATTATTAAGTTCATATAATTATTAAGTTTTATATAATTATTAAGTTCATATATAATGATTAAGTTTATATATAATATTAAGTTCATATATAATTATTAAGTTCATATATAATGATTAAGTTTATAAATAATTATTAAGTTCATATATAATGATTAAGTTTATAATAATTATTAAGTTATATATAATGATTAAGTTTTATATAATTATTAATTTATATATAATATTGAGTTCATATAATTATTAAGTTTATATATAATTATTAAGTTTATATAAATTATTAAGTTCAGTCAATTATTATTCCTCATTATACCCAGAGTGACTCCTTCACAATGTTTGTTCTGTCAGTCCAAACCTCAAAATGAATATACAGTATCTCACAAAGTGAGTCCAGCCTCACATCTCTGTAACTATGGGATTCTATCTTTTCATGTTTCAACGCTGAAGAAATGACCCTTTGCTCCAGTGTAAAGTAGTGAGTGTGTAAATCTGCTGTCCCCTCAAAATAACACATCACACAGCCATAGTGACATACTGTAAATACACAAAAATAATCAAAAAGACAATCAATTCAGTTTTATTTATAAAATGCCAAATCACAGCAACAGTTATCTCGTGTCTCTTTTCATAAAGAGACACGAGATAACTGCACAATATCCACACAGACAGTAAAGGTGATGCTGCTACAGACTGACTGAATAACGGTACAGATATTTACAGTGTTACTGATTATAATAACAATAAAATAACTGCAGCAGAGCGCGGGAGCAGCAACACGGGGGCAGCAGGTGACTCGCCGCCGCAGAGATGATCAGCAGTTTCCAGTCAGTGAACTAAAAGGGGCGGCTGTAGAAACTGTTGGACTTTTCATAACAAAACATCAAATACTAATAGTTTAATACTACATTAAATATTACTGTCTTTTTTTTAGTGTTTGAGTAAAAATACTCAAACATGTTTCTAATAAAAACACAGACTTTTACTACTTTATACTTTGAAACTTCTAGTGGAGAAATATTATTTAGGGTATCTGTACTATTACTAAAGTACAGGATCTGTGTACTTTGTCCACCACTGAGTATTTGTCAGGTTTTTTAAACCAGAAAGAACATTTACATCTACGTTTAAAATACTGCTGTTAGTACAAGTACTGCAGTACTATCTGCTAAATGTACATACTGAAAGGGAGAGGAGGAGGTGCAGAAGGAGAGGAGGAGGTGCAAAAGGAGAGGAGGAGGCAGAGAAGGAGAGGAGGAGGTGCAGAAGGAGAGGAGGAGGCAGAGAAGGAGAGGAGAAGGTCCAGAAGGAGAGGAGGAGGTGGTGAAGGAGAGGAGGAGGCAGAGAGGGAGAGGAGGAGGTGCAGAAGGAGAGGAGGAGGCAGAGAAGGAGAGGAGGAGGTCCAGAAGGAGAGGAGGAGGTGGTGAAGGAGAGGAGGAGGCAGAGAAGGAGAAGAGGAAGCAGAGCAGGAGACAAGGAAGCAGAGAAGGAGAAGAGAAGGTGGTGAAGGGGAGGAGGAGGCAGAGAAGGAGAGGAGGAGGTGCAAAAGGAGAGGAGGAGGCAGAGAAGGAGAGGAGGAGGTCCAGAAGGAGAGGAGGAGGTGGTGAAGGAGAGGAGGAGGCAGAGAAGAGGAAGCAGAGCAGGAGACAAGGAAGCAGAGAAGGAGAAGAGAAGGTGGTGAAGGGGAGGAGGAGGCAGAGAAGGAGAGGAGGAGGTGCAAAAGGAGAGGAGGAGGCAGAGAAGGAGAGGAGGAGGTCCAGAAGGAGAGGAGGAGGTGCAGAAGGAGAGGAGGAGGCAGAGAAGGAGAGGAGGGGTCCAGAAGGAGAGGAGGAGGTCCAGAAGGAGAGGAGGAGGCAGA